CGTTCCCTTTGGGTTCGGTTGGGGGTGCTTGGACTGGACTTCTCCCTCATTCCCAACCATACTCAGAACCATCATCATCGTCACCATGAGCAGCAGGAACATTACCATTCCTATGTGTAGCCCTCATTTTTCTGACCCCATATCCTCCCTCCTGGCCCCCCATCCACCCTCCGTCTTCTCGTCGCCATCATCGAAGGCATCTTCCTCCAGCTCCGCCTCGACGTCTTTTTCCCCCGATCCATATATCGATGTACTTCTGTATGTGTGTGCATGTGTGTATGTATCGTCTTCCCCTTCCCCCCGTACTTTCCCCCCCCCCGTCCTGCTCCTCCCCATCCTGTCCTTTTCCTCCTCCCCCCCTCCTCCTCCTCTTCCCCATCCTTCCGCCGCCCTCGTGTTCCTCCCACCCCCATTCCTTGTTTCCCCGTTCCTCATCGTCCTCCTCTTCCCCCTCCTCATATGATGTGTTCCTCTTTCTCCTCTTCCTGCTCCCCCTCCTTCTCCTCCTCCTCCTCCCTCCTTTTTCTCCTCCTCCCCTCCTCCCCTTCTCCTCCTCCTCCTCCTTCTCCTCCTCCTCCTTTTCCTCCTCCTCCTCCTCCTCCTCCTCCTCCTCCTCCTCTTCTTCCTCCCCATCCTCCTCCTCCTTCTCCTCCTCCTCGTTCGTTCGCGGCTTTAGGGCAGAGAGTGGAAGCCCGATCACAGAGGGTGGACGGCAAAAAGAGTAGGATGGGGGGTAAGAGCGGCGGCGGCAGCAGAGCCAGCAGCCAGCAGCAACGGTGAGGCCTCGGCTCTGCGCAGCCACACAGCTACATCAGGCCGTACAGGGGCGAACAAGTCAGGTGAGATGGCAGCCCTAGGTCAAGGTGTCCCCACCCAACACTACCTTCTCCCTCCCCGATCATACAGTGCAGTAAGGGCTACTGCCTTTTAAAGTGGGCGTACACTATAAGAAGGAAAGAGGAAGTAAAAAATACGGTTTGGAAAAGAAACCTTCACCCCCAGAGGGTCAGCTACTGACAGTGTCGAGCCGTATACTATAGTAAACAGCACTGGGCTACTACTACTGTTTATAGTGAGTGTACACTGGCGGTACTTGGGTGAGCACGGCATCACCTTCATAGTCCAGCCCTTCACTTCACCTCTGGTCTCTACACTGTACTATGAGGCCCCCCACGAGGCTAACAAAGTTGCTGTTCGGCGAGACACCAGGTGAGCAGGGGGAGGGCAACATAGGGAAAAGTGAGTTAGCTCTGCCCTGCATCCTCTCTGTCTGGCCTATTTTGTCGCATGCGATCCATACCAATCATTCCCGTGTCCAAGTACGGGTCCAGTGGCACATAGTATCTGCGTAGTGACGGTGGTAACCACTCATCACATGTCTCATCCAGATTATATTGCTTTCTTAACCATAACTCATCTTCATAAGTCCATACATGTTGTGTATCTGTTGGTACAAACGTAGTATTCCATCCTGCTTGTCGTGGCGTGTCGGCCTGTGCCCGAGTCGTTGGGCGTAGTGGTTGTTTGAATCGTAACCTTCGTGTCGTCACGGTCGATGCAGGAGTGGGTGGTGGGGGTGGGGGGGTATCGAACAACCAGGGAAACTTCACCCAAGCCTCCTGAGCAAAGGCCCTCCCCAGAAGCTCACATAGCCCTTTGGGATACACTTTAGCGTGCGCGGTGTTCCAGATCCCCATATGGTCGACCCCTTCGAGAGCGATGTGCCCCATAGTATGGTTACAGAGAACCCCATGAGGCCTAGCCCATAGGGCATCACGAAGGGCACCAAAATGCACACCCATAAGACTCGTGGGTTTGCGCGAGGGGGCTCCAGACATACACTGATGTATGGTGTGCTTCTCCACCCCAGGTTGTCGAAGAAGGTCTTTGGTGAGCTCCAAATGCCAAGAGCTCGGGGCCTCTGGGGGACTCCAAGGCTCAGCTGGGTGCTCCACAACTTCAGGAATGAGAAGCCTCCAACATACCACTGCAAACTCAAGTGTGGTTCTCAACAGCCTATTTCCAAGAGAAAGCTGAACAGACTCACGCTCGGAAACAAATGGTAGCCCCCACAGCTGTGAAGCGAGCCTAAGGGGTCTGGGTGGTCTCGCACGGGGCCCACGGGCTCCTTGAATGGGTTCCCTGAAACGAGCAATCGACCACGTTTCGCAGGGGGGGCCCGCCATGACCCCCGCCACACGTCCTGATTTTGCCAAACGGATCCACATTAAAACTGAACAATCGTTGGTTAAGTCTCCCCAAACAGGATGGTTGATGACATCTATTGATAATGCTATAATGTTAGCCTTGAACCTCTCTAAGGCCATCTCCACCTGGTGCTGGAAGTCGTCTTGTCGTCGGTAACCTGAGAAGAGATGTAAGATGTACATATGTGGCCTGCACGGTGCCCTCAGGGGGCTGAATACTGGCGGCGGTGGTGGTGGTGGTGCCTCTTCAGGCACGTCGTACTGAGGTAGCTGCTGCCCCTGTCCTGGTAGAGCAATGGGGGGTCCAAAGAAACGCTTGGGGGGCTTGACCGCTTGATGATCCTGCTTACCAGTTTTGCGATTCGCAGCAGTTTGCTCACGAATCTCGAGCATGTTCGCAGAAATAGCTGCTTCATCCCCCAGACAACGTCCTGAGAAAAACCAGGCCTGTCTACAACGCACCACTCTGGATACATGTTTATGGAGCCTCCCAGGGGTGTGAAAATCTGTGCAACAAACCTGACAACAGGTCCCCACCACGAAGTTTTTGGGAGCACAATGGGGGGCATGAAATTTACCCAAGTGGACATGGTAATCACGTTCCGAAACAAAAACTGCTGGGCAATGAGGACACTTAACTGTGGGCGAGGGCCCAACCTGCTTCTCAAGCGGGGACCCCCGAAGGTGCTGCCTACATCTCCTGTTCCACGCCTCGAGGTGAAACTGGTCACTCCAGAAACGTGCTGCTTTGGAGGCAACAGTCTTCAGGGCGGAACGAAAAGCCTTCGGACTGTCTTTAATAATCCTGATCCAGCTGGGCAGTGTATTGTCCTGCGGCCGTTTGCTGGGATCAAGGAAAGAGTTGAACCAAACTAGATCAGCCTCAATGAGAGCCATCCAACCACGAATCGGCTCACTAAGATATTGCATACAAACACACAAAATGTCCGGACAGCCAGCCATGAGCCGAGCAAGCAACCTGAGGCGTGCCACCGAGAGCACGACGGCAAGAGGAAGACGGGAAATTTGGCCCAACACCTCAAAATATGTGACTTTTTCGTCAGAATTGTTAGCACACGGAAGATGCAAAGCCGCACGATAAATCTGTTCGTGCGTGGTACGAACTTTTCTCCACAAATTATTAGAGAGCTCGAGCCAAGTTGCCGCATTATAAAGCAGCACGGAGCTAGCTAAACATTCTGCATACAGCACCTTTTTACGGATGCTGAGCATGACCCTAGGTCCAATGACCTTCTTGATTGGGGCTAACGCAGACTTAGCCCCGTGACACCTTGCGACCACCTCCGTAGCCATGCTGTTGGTGGGGGAGAGGAAGGACCCTAAAACCCGATGATCAATGACGATCTTGGCTTGAAAGTCCCATGCTTCTGACCTGACATGGAGATGAGGATCTCCGTTCTTATCCAATCGCGCTGCCATCGACCCCTTCCCCCTGAACGCTAGAATGAAAACCGTTTTTGCAGCATTGGGAATTAAGCCACGTATGCAACAGGCCCGAAACACAGCATCAAGTACCCTCTGCGCAATCCTGAGAAGCTGTCCTGCTTCAGAAGTGACAAAGGGCTGGGTGAGATCGTCCACAAAGGAAGTCCCCCATTCTCTGGTGTCAAGTTGTGCTTCTCTTGCTATAAATAAATCAGTAGTAGGCAACCCAAACAAAGCCAGGAAATCATAAACATCCTCCTCCTCCTCCTCCTCCTCCTCCTCCTCCCCCTCCTCCTCCTCGTCCTCCTCTCCTCCCTTCTCCTCCTCTTCCAGCTCCTCCTCCTCTCACTCTCCTTTTCCTCCTCCTCCCCCTCATCCTCCTCCTTGTCCTCCTCCTCCTTCTCCTCCTCCTCCTCCTTCTCCTCCTCCTGTTCCTCCTCCTCCTCCTCCTCCTCCTGCTCCTCTTCCTCCTCCCCATCCCCCTCTTTCTCTCCTTCCCCCTCCCCATCCTCCTCCTCCTCCTCCTCCGTCTCCTTTTCCCTTTCTTCCTCAACCCCCCCCTCCTCTCCTCCTCCTCCTCCTCCTCCTCATCCTCCTCCTCCTCCTCCTCCTCGTTCCCCTTCTCCGTTTCCTCCTCCTCCTCCTCCTCCTCCTCCTCGTCCTCCTCCTCCTCTCCATCCTCCTCCTAGCCGCTCTGGCACAGTAGTTATTTGTGCCGGTTGACGCTGACTTCAGAGCGGCGCTGCGTCAACGGGCCTTGGGCTCGGCGTAGGTTTCTTTCAGGGCACGCGGGCGCACGACGCCCAGGTCTCCCCCATGCCACGGCGGTGCCAACGGCAAAGGGCGAGGCAAGGGCAATTTCCGTGAGGACCGTGCCCCGACTACGCCCCCTGGCATCTCGACGGTGGTGGGGCTACGCATCAGTATTGGTGGGTGCGCCAAGAACCCACAGCCCTCGCGATTTTGCATGCGCTGTGGTTCGCCGCTAGCTGCTGTTACTCCTGCCGATCGCGGTCACCTTCCTAACGGCTCGCGGGTACAGCCACCCCCCGGTGCATTCAGTCCGCCCGCATGGTCTACGCAGCAGCTCGTGCCCTCAGGGCCTCTCCCTGGACAAGCAGGTGCTGTGCAGCGAGGTGGTGCCGCCCAGGCTGGCGGAGTTCCCCTGGCGGCGCCAGCTCCGTTGCGGGTCGGTGTCCAGGGTTAGCCCACGTCTTCGGAAGCCAAGCGGTTGGCCAAATTCGCTCGCAATGGAGGTGGCCTGGCCACGGCTGCATAGTAGGAGTATGACGCCAAGCGCCTACACCTGCAAGAGCCCCCCAGCCTCCGACGCCCCTGCGACAGAAGGTGCAGGAGGCTTTTGCGGTGGCTTCTCGCTTGGAGAAGCAAGTTGGCAAGGAAGCGGACCAGCTGCTCGCTTTGAGGCAGGGCGTCATCCAGCAAGAGAACGCGGTCTGGGTGCCTCGTGCTGAGCTGGACTCGGCGGAAGCGGAGTACAAGTCGCTGGTCACCGAGTTGCAGCAGCAAGCCTCGGTGGCCCCCGCGCCTGCTCCAGTTGGCCCGCCCAAGCTCAAGCTGGTGGACCTCTGCGACGAGTTCTTTGACTTGGGCTCGATTTTTGAGATTGACGAGGTCAGCTTCTTCGAGGCGGACGGCGAGCGCGCTCGGGGGGGTCGGGGCGAGATCGCGAAGCGGAAGGGGGCGCTCAATTCAGGGGTCTCTAAGCTCGCGAAGGACTGGCTCGGCCCGCTGGCGCAGGCGGCCGCAGGCGGCGACGGAAGTCCAGGGCGCCCGTCGCGGCCGCCTTGCGCGCGCGGCGGCAAAGAAGAGGCGCGCCGCCGACGGAGCTGCAGCTGGAGGACCCCTCGCCGATCAAGTATTTGTATCTGCTGAGCGAGGTGCTGGCTCTGAGGGCCAGGCTGCAGCTTCTCCCGCGACAGCCGGCAGCGGACCGTCGCCCGCTGCCACCGCGCAGGCCGACGCAGGTGGCGGGGCCCGCCCCGCCTCCAGTCGACGTGCGAATCAAGGCAGCGGAAGCTTTTGACCCCCCCCCCGCTCTTCTCGGAGCGCGGGGGGGGGGGGGGGGGGGCGCAGCGCGGCCCGGCCGCTCATCGGAAACTTCGCGTGCTAGCCAGTCCCGGCGCTTTCTGTCAGAGAGCCCCTCGCGGAGTTTTATTTGTTTCGCGGCCCCGCGCGTGCCCGCGTTGCCCGCGGGGCCTCCCGGGGGCGCGCGTGGGCCCCGGAGGCGCTGCGAGGCAGCCCCCGCCTCGCGCCGGGCACTCGCTTGGAAAATTCTGCTTCAGAATGCAATCCCCTCAGGGGGCGACTCGGCGCCCTGTTCGGCTAGGCCCGGGAGATGGAATCTCCCGGCGGAGAGTCTCCCGGCCTGAGCTGCTCGGCGGCGTCGCCGATCCCTTCTCTTTAGTCCGTGCTGTCGAGCCCTCGCAGGCCGGCGCCGATGGGGGCCCTGCGAGTGGGAGCTTCACAGGTTCTGCCCTTGCAGAAGGCCTAAGGAGGCCGCCCGCCTGGGGGTCGCGCTCGTTCCATGGAGTTACTGGGGCCCTGTGGCCCCAGTACGTTACGCCACTCCTGACAGGGGGGCATCACTGTTCACGGTCTCTGAGCATTTTCCGATTCGCCCCCCCCTGCCTTGCCCTGGAGATTCGGGAGTGGAGCTCGTTGTCTAGACTGCCCGCGTCACGCCATGGCACTCGGACTCCGGCGGCGGCCTCGAAGCTTGGCTGCCGAACTGCGGAGCGCACATTCTGCTCGTCCAAGAGCACCGCCTGCCCAATCCAGACATTGACATCTGTTGGCTTGGCGTATCGACACGGGTGGAACGCCATTCGTGGGCCCGCTGCTCCTGGGGTCGGGCATGGTACTTCGTCGAGGGCTGGTACAATGGTGAGGAATTTTCTAGGGCCCCATCCTCCTCCTGGGTGTTATGTCATCGACCAGCGTCGTTAGATTCGGGCCAGTGCTCATGCTCCAGGAAGGCGGCCCAGTCTCCGTTTGGAGCATCTACATGCGCGCGTGCGAGCGGTTCCCTGAGGCTCACATGGGGCTGTTGGCACTGGCGGGTACGGTTGCAGAGCAGCTCGCCATGCCCACCATCGTCGGGGCCGGCTTTAACATGAATCATGATGTGCTCACCTCGCCTGGCATTGTCATCCGTTTGCGTGCTCAGTTGGTGGTTCCGATGGATGTCGTCGGCGCGCGCGGCGCCAGCATGCTCGATGATTTGATCGTCTACTCGGGGCTCGGCAGGGGGGGATGTCGCAGTTCGAAGCTATTCGCGCGTCGAACATCGCCGCGCACTTGCCAGCGGAGCTCGGATGTCACGCGGGCCTTGGACGGCTGCTCGGCCGCGTTTCTCGCGGGCCGCCGCCGCTGCCGACTGAGTCGCCCATTGGACTCGCGCCGCCGCCGCCCGTTTGGTCGGGGGCGCAAGCTGAAGCAGACCGCGCTCTAGGTGCTTGCCCGAGTGTCGACGCGCACGCAGCGCGGCGCGCGTTCGACGAGCTCTAGAAGCACTGGGCCGACCTGGTCGAGAAGGAGCTAGCGGGCCCAAGACAACCCCTCGCCAAGTTGGGGGGGTCGGGGGGGGGATGCCTCAGCAGAGGCGGTTTAATGTCCCGGGCCAGAACAGCGAGGCCATTCGAGGGGGCAAAGCTTGAGTTGCCGGTGGGGGGCCTCGCTGTTCTGGCCCAGGATATTAACCCGCCTCTGCTGAGGCCCCCCCGACCCCCCCGACAAGGCAAGGGGTTTTGTCTTGGGCCCGCCAGCCCCTTCTGCCACAGGTCGGCCCAGTGCTTCTAATGCTCGTCGGACGCGCGCTGCTCCTCAACGGGCTGGCCGCTAAGTTTAGGCCCCATCTCCAACTGGACGCGGTCAGCATAGGATCCGCTCGTGCTCGGGGGGTCAGGGGGCTGGTTTTGTCACCGCCGGCCCTCTTGCAGCAGAGGCTGGATGTCCACGCTGGCCAAGTCTTGCGCGTTCAGCAGCTTGCAAGACAGCATGGCCGCCTCAACCATCCGTCTGGGGTGTCTATCCTCGCCGGTTTGGACGGGCGCCTGGAGACCTGCGCTGTTGAAATTAAGGCGCAGGCGCTGTCTGAGTGGCGCGAAAGGCTTCTCCAACCTATTGGCCGAGGCGCTCGACGAGCGCGCCGGCGCGCGCGCGGCCGCCGGCCGCGGGCGCCGGCCGCGGGCGCCCGCCGCGAATTTGAGCAGTGACGGGGCCGTCATCTCAGACCCTTTCGCTTTTCTCTCTGCTGAAGCTAGTAAGTTCAGAAGACTGTGGGATGCCGCCCCCCCCCCCCCCCCCCCTGACCCCGCGTTCCAATTCGTCGAGCTTTATCGCCTCTCCGCAGATGAGCTGAGGGCCGCGTCTCGGAGGTATTCGGCTCGCTCCGCAGTCGCTGTTGATGGGTTCCAGATGAAACGTTGCGCTTCGCTCTCGGATGGTGCGCTCGGGGCCCTTCGGGCCACGTGCGCCATCGTCGAGGCTTCCGGGCTCTTCCCCGGGAAAATCCCTGTGTTTTTTCCCTTTTGCTCAACGTGCCCTCGGGGCGGGGGTCTGACCCATCGGGCAGTTCTGTAGGCCCCGTGGCCACTGGGGCTGCGCTGTCGAAGGTGCGCTGTCACGTGGGAATGCGGCTTCCAGAGAAGCTATTTTGCGGCCCCCGCGTTTTCTTCTGCTGTGGACGTCGTCTGGCGCCAACCCTTGCGCGCTGATGGAGCGGTGCCCGAGGGTCTTGCGAGTTGCCCCCTGCTTTGGGATTTGCTTAACTGTTTCGAACTTGCCAAGCCTCCTCTGCCCATTCAGCGGCGCCGCGCGTGCCAGCTGCCAGCGCTGACTGCCAGGCTTGCGGTTCGAGGGCGCAGACGCGGCAGGTTCCTCTCGCTGTCTGGCGCCCGGCGCCGCGGTCGGCGCCGTCCACGTCAAGGGCGGGGTCGTCGCTGGCTGCGGGTTCGCGCCCACCACGGCGCGCATCAACGCGGCCCCCGCCTTCGATTCTTCGCAGTTCCCCCCAGGTGTCGCGCTAGAAGTTTACCTTGACGGCCACGGTTTTAGCCGCGCTGGAAAAGCTGCTTACATAGTCGGCCATCTCCCCGAGGCTGCTGCGGACGTCGGGAGAGCGATTGAGGATGATATGGGGGCTGTTATTTTGGTCGACAAGGCCTCCCTCGTCGCCTCGTCGGTTTCGCTCGCCTCTCTGGCTAGGGGCAGCGTTGGAGGCCTTGCTGGGCCCGTGGTTCGGCACGCCGTCAACCTCGGGATTGACTCCCCCCGGCCGTTCGCGTCGGGCCCCAGGGCCGCCCCCTGAGAAGTCGCTGGACCGAAAGCGCTTGCCAGCAAGAAACTCAAGAAGCCCAGGCGAGCCAGGCGCCCCCTGGGCGGACACGCTGCCGCAGTTTATAATCCGCGACCTCTGCCCAGTCTCACGTTCGGAGCTGGAGTGCAGGGTATCTCTAACGTTGAATGGGAGCGGTTGCAGATCTCGGCGGCCAGCACCACGCAGCCCACTGCGAAGATGAGGTCTAGGACATCGCTGCTCACCCTGTCTCAGGGCCCGACCTGGCACCGCGCAGCAGCGCCCATCGTGCGCTACTCCATGGAGATTTGAGCCAATCAGACCAAACTTTTCCCGCTCGCCCCCCCCGCGGCCCGAGCCACGGCAAGCTTGGAGTTCGATGTTTGGGAATCCTGGGCCCTGGAGGGGAGTGAGGGGGGCCCTGGGGCCTTGAAGCTGGCCCCGAATCGCACCTCCTGGGCTGCGCCTTACTATTGCACCCTCCTGGACGATTTCGGGGCCGAAATGTCGGTTGCGATCGCCTCTCCCGCCCTCCTTGAGAAGCTTTCGAAGGCGGCTGCGCAGTGGGCTCTTGAGCGGGCGAATGGCGCTGCGCTGCTTCCTCATGCTATTGGTGCTCGAGTTTCCCGTGACGCTGTTGCAGCTGAGCTGCGTTTCGAGCGCGACCTTCCTTCAGCGAGGCTGCGCCAATGCACATGCGCGCCATGCTACCTGGATTAGAACTGGGACGTTCCAAGCAGGGTATGAAGTTGACACTACATGTGACCTGTGCCTGGAGAGCCCCGACACCACGTTACACCGCCTCCGGTTCTGTCCCGCACGTCAGGCTAGGCGTTAGGAAATCCCTGGCAGCTTCAAGAAAAAGTTCGACCTGGTCCCTCCCCCCGACTTGACGCCAGACACCAATGAGGAGGATGTCCTGTTGTATTTTCGAGGCTTGTTCCGCCATCCTGGTGACGCGTTCCCGTTCCCTGCCGTAGATGACGTTGAACATGCTGGCCTGGAAGTGAGATGGGCGCGCGATCCTGAATGCCGTTCCCATGACATTTCTGAGCACCTTTTCGTGGACGAGTCCTGTGTCTTACGCACTATCAAGGAACTCTCCAGGGCTGGGTGCGGGATGGTAGCTGTAGGAGACGGCGCAACCAAAGTCTGTCGGATCAGCTGCCCACTTTGGGCCCCTAGCCTGCAGACGGCCCAAGGTGGCGAATTCGGGGCTTGCGCCGCTGCCGCCGTGCAAGCCCAGAGGGGCAGCTCCAGTTTTTCTGACCGTAAGAATTGTGCGATGCAGGCTAACGAATACCTGCTGCGCGCGCTGTCTTACATGCGCGTGCGCTCTGGGTCCCTTTTGGTTCACCAAGAGGAAGTTTGATAATGGAGCTTCCAATGTGAAAGCTTATGTTGAGGAGTCGGATGGTCTCGCGGAGCAGCAGCGCTCCTGGAAGGCAGGTAACGATCTGGCTGATAGCGTGGCTAAGACATCGCCAGCGGCGCACCCTCAGCCCGAGCCCGATGATGTGGCCTCCCTGGGCCAACGCATCAGGATTGACATGTGCGCGATGCGCCGCTCAGCTGAGCCCGTGCCTGAGTGGCCAAGACTT